CGCCTCTCTTTCTGGGGAGAGAGAGGGAGGGAGAGTGCGCTGCCCGGCCGGCGGCTGCGAGTTCGAGTCGGGCAGCGCGATGCATCTACGCAGAAGGTCCCGCCTCCGCGCGCCCGCAAGGGGGTGGGGGGCGCCTTCCCCCCCCCAGCACACGGCCGAGAGAAGGGGGGGAAGGGGGCGCGCGCCTCCATCCCCTCCCTCCCTCCCTCGCCCGGCCTTCCCTCTCGGGCGGAGGGGCTGCCAGGGACGGCCCCTCCGAAGCGCCGGTGCAGACGACGAGGAGGCAGGAGAGAGGCGCGGGGCCCATCCCGCCCTGCCCCCCCCCCCGCCTCGCGGCGACGCCTTGGAGGAGGACGCCCGGCCCCTTCCCTCGCCTCAGCCGCGCCGGGCAACGGAGCCACTGCCGCCGCCCCTCAGCCGCGCTCGGGGACGGGCGGGTCCGTTATCCAAACCCCGCCGGGGCGCCTCCTCGGCTCGCGGCACTAAAGTTCCGGGAGGACCGCTTTGAGAGGAGCACCGCTCCCAGCAGGGAGAGGGGAGGAAGGGAGGAGGAGGCGAGAAAGGGAAAGACGGCCCTCCCTCCGGCGCATGCGCAGAGCTGCTTCCCTGCCGGGATGGGGAAGGGAGCCGCCTGCTGGGGTTGCCAACTCCAGGTTGGGGGATTCGTGGAGGCTTTGTGGGGAGGGGCTTCCCTTGAGCGACCCTCCAAAGCAGCGAGTTCCTCCCTCCGTGAACTGACCTCAGCAGCGCCGGGGGGGGAGTAGTTGTGAATTTCCTGCACTGTGCAGGGGGTCGGACTAGATGACCCTTCCAGTCTCCAAACTGGGCAAGTGGTCGACATTGTAATGGATAATGTTCACACTGAATAAATGTGATGAGATGTGCGTAAGGGCAAAAATCCTACCCTTAAATATTCATGTATGTATTTATTTATTAGGTTTATACCCCACCCTCCCCGCCAACGAAAGCTCAGGGCGCCTTACAATAAAAATTTTAAACAGTTAAAATCAGAAAAACAATTCAAAGGTGCTATACATGGGTGGAAATTACAGGGGAGTCGTTACCGGCTAAATATCAGGAGAAACTTCCTAACTGTAAGGGTGGTTGAGCAGTGGAACAGTCTGCCTCGGGAGGTGGTGGAGGCTCCTTCGCTGGACGTTTCCAAGTGGAGGCTGGACGACCATCTTTCGGTATGTCGTAGGGCTGTCTTTTGGCTGTGCTCCTGCAGAGTGCAGGGGGTGTCAGCTATGCTGCCATGAAGGTTGGGGAGGTTGGTCTGTGTCTGGTTAATTGCTATTGCTTTCCTTTCAGGTTAATTGCTACTGCATTCTTTTCTGTGCTGTCTCTGCTGTGCACCGAAACACTTATCTATACAGATGTGCAGGAGGGTGTTGTAGTGTCTGGGATTTCCCTAGGTGCCGTGGGAGAGTGTTCGTTCTCAGCTTCAGTTACCTAACGGTCTCTAAGCCTTATCCCGCACGTGGGAGGGTGCCTAATTGGCCAGTGCTGGGGGGGGGGTGCATATGAATACCCTATATCCTATTATGCCCATGAGGCCGCCGCCATTCTTAACAGTGCCTATGTTACTGCATCTATAGCTCTGCAATAAAAGTATTACCGTTCCTGACTGCGTGTACTTCGTTGTTGGCTGTGGGTTCTGACGGGGTTGGACTAGATGACCTGGAAGGTCCCTTCCTACCCTAACATTCTATGATTCTACATAGATATTGCTTATAAGAGAGTGAAACATAATTTCCAAGTCATTATGTACACAGGTATCCATCAGTAGTAATAATATCAATGGTGAAATTTCAGGGCAAGCCTCTAATTTTATATTAGATGTTATATGTGGCTTCTCAATCAAATGCCTGGTGGAAGAGCTCCATCTTACAAACCCTGCGGAATTGTAGTGTATTTTGATGAGGTCAGAAGTGGTGTTCATGGAGTGGAAAAGAGACTCGGGGGGGGGGGATCATTTGATGAAAATGTCGATCCAGTGTTTGGCAGCACTGAAAAGGGCAAATTCCCCTCAAGAGGAAATGCAATGGCCAACTTTATCATGCTCTGGTATCAGTCAAAGTTTCAGCTGCATTTGAAATATTCTGGGAAGTTCTGGTTGGTCCAGTCTTGGTCCAGTCATTCTCTCAGCTTAACCTACCTCAAGGGTAGTTGTTGGGGGTTAGGAGCTATGTGAAGCACCTTGAGTTCCTTGAAGGAAGGATGGGGTGAAAATAGATAGACATTTTGTTGTTGTTGCTGTTGTTCAGTCATACAGTCGAGTCCCATGGACCACATCACACCAGGCCCTCCTGTCT